TATTATTTCCAGCTTTCAGTAAAAGGCCCAATTGCTTATGCCAGCAGTTAGTGCCCTACCAGCCTGTATTCTGGTGCTTGCAACATACCCTGCTTTCCTTTTGTAGTTTATTTCTGATTTGATGTTTCATGAGTGAAGTTTTAGGGCTGCAGATCCAGATTTGACTTACGCATAGAATTCAAAACTCTTGTGAAAAGGCACAGGTGAAAGGGGAGGTGGATAAGCTGGATCTGCTTGTTGGGGCAGTTCAGTATCTTTGCGGGCTGATGCCAAAGATATTATATATGTTCATTTGTGGGATATTTAATTTTCAAAGGTACCAATCAATGCATTTGTTGTTTGAGCAGAACTTGTTAGACTTGCGGAAACTGAATGATGCCCCATTAAAGTGGGGTGACAGCCTTGCCTGGAAGTTTGTTGTCTGCATATGAACAAAAGCTGCTGAGCCTGGGTCTGCCTTTCTCGAGTTTCTGCCTGCTCACTTCTCCTGTGGGCTCCCTCCCAAGAGCCATCTTTACACTGTTTGCCCTCTGCAGGATCTCTTTTTCACTGTTTGCAGGTGGTGAGTGAATTTGCAGGAGAAAGCTGTGGTGCCTCCGGGAAACCAGGGAAGTGCAGGCACTTCACTGATCATGTAGGAAAATGCCATCCAAAGCCAGAGAAGCTGGGAAGAAGTGGAAATGAAGATGACAACTTTGACTCCATCACTTTCAAATCTAAGAAAGGCACTGATGCTGCAGCTTTCACCTGCAGGTTCCCAGATGCCAGGAAAGCAAATAATGCAGAGCATGGGTCTAGGTGTGGAGTAGTTTGAGTGCAGGGGAGATCACTCATCTGGCTAGCATAGCTCTGGCACACGGGAGGACTTGCCTTCCATGGCACACATTCAGGCTTGGCCACCCTTACTGCTTCTTCCAGCCTTTGCTCCTGCTTTATCAAACATACCCACAGAGCAGGTGGGAGCCATGGGGGGAGTGATGTCACTAGTAACATTGCAGCTGATTTTGGGCTCCTTCTCAGGCTGTGATGTTAATTTGGGCAATGTTTTTCCAGATAAATGTCAGCAAGGCTTTGCTTGCTGTCACCTCATTTTTATAAGGGAATTTGTACAAGGATTTGAGAGTATATAGTTGAGCAAAATCAGGAACAGATACCTCTCTCTTTCTTTTATGCAGGAGAACACTGCAAGGGACATCCTTCTCTTTCCATGATACTTGCCCAAAGGCTACAGTATTTCTGGGGTTGATACCATCCTATGAGCAAAAATGATGTGACCTGTTTGTTTCCACATCTACCACCGTGCAGGTGGGCAGAGGGCTGTGAGTGACATTTTGTTGGTGGTAAACTTGTTATACTAGGCATGTCAAGGTAGATATGGAGGAAACCAGCAGTCATGCCTGGCTGGTGAGTCTTGGCACTTTGAGTTATGTTGGGATAGAAATTTTGATTAAGAAAGGGCTGCAGTGGATTCCGAAGCAGGAAGATGGATGTAGCAAATGCCTCACAAGGAGCTGCTTAGTAGGCCTGTTTGGCGGAGTTATATATAGATTTTGCTCTCTGTGGGTCCTGCTGGTGTAACAGTAGGTTGCACAACTGGCTCTTAAGAGAGCTCTTTGTCTAGAGATTTGTTGCTTCTTTTTGATCAGAGCGTCAGGGCAATACAGACCGTTCAAGGAAGTGCTGAATAATCCCTATTCTGCTTGCACAAGGGCAGATACCCAGAGCATAACTTTCTTTTGTCTCTCCAATTAAAGAGAATGGAAGTTTCCAGTCCTGTAAGCAGAATGAGAATACCTTCAAATAAAACTATTCCCTGTAATGCTTTAGCATATGTAATAGGACCCCAAAGTTGCCAAATCATTCCCAAAGCTGCTTTTTACCAAGCAGGGAGGCTGCTCAAGTGCCTTTATTTATCTGACTGGAGAGATTTTTGATCCCCTGCCTGCTTTGCTGTGGTGCTGCTTCTTTCCCCAGCTGGGCTAGGCTGAAGCTCTTGCAGCTTGTTAAATAGCCAAGAAGTTCTAAATAAAAATGAATTGAGTGTTTCTAATTTGCATGTCTCTTGAGATAAGCAATTAGATTTTTTCCTTTTTGCTTAATTTCTGATTGTTTCATCAATTATGTCTTTGAAAAGCACACACAGACTAAAACTTGAGGCAACAGTCATATACATTATTAGAAATTAATGTTACAGAAATTCATACCATTTTCCCATTTTCTGTGTTGTGCTTGGGAAAATACGGGGCGGGGGGGGGGAATCTTTAATGTTTTATACACAAAATGTTTTGTATTTGCTTGAATTCTCAGGCAGGTTATAAGTAGTCAATTCCTAGAAGGGAGATAACTTCAATGAAGTAAGAAATGAAGAATGATGCAACAAATGGAGATAACGTTGACTTGTTTTCTGTCTCACTGATAGATATCTAGGTGAAACATGGAGGTGTTACATGCTCTCAGTGCTATTTTTGCTGTTAGTAACACAAGTTTGCTGTCTTTCCACTGACCTTTCTATTGCTCATTTTTAATGAGAAAGAACTGGTTTTCCAAAATGTCTTCACTGGAACTAGTTGTGTATAAGGCCAGAATGGTTTATAGTGGTCCATGTTTACAGGAGCTCCTCTTTCTGCCTTTTCTTTTATGCAGACCCCTTCTTGCTGCTACTCTTTCTTCATTAAATGTATTTCCCCACTTGCTTTGTTTTTTTGGGCATGTTTTCACCTCCTTTTTTTTTACTAAAGATGCACAACGGAAAGGTAACATGGTAAGGGTGGAAAGATGGGAATTTAAAAATCATCCTGCAGAAGGAGAATATTAAATGTTTTTATCCAACTCAACAAAACGCACATAAAAATACTTCTAGAAATTATGTGCAATTAACTCATCAGAGATAATAACGGTCTCTCCTATGCTGCAGTAGAGCAGAGACACAAATACAGTGAGAGCTAAGGTTAACCTGTAATCACCTGTATTTTCCCTGAGATTGTATATACTTCTTCTGCCAGGTCAACACTGACTGGATCAGTTCTGAAGCTCTCACGTTAACAAATTTACCCAAATCTGTGTGCAAAGAAAAGATGACATGCTGAATCTGGGTGCTCTGATTTGAGCACGGCGCAAAGTCTCTCCTGAGCGGCAGCCTTGGATAATGCTTGGCTGCCACCATGCTTGCGGAAAGGCCGAGCCCCTCCATGTCATTTTGCTGTGCACCGGCAGACTTTGTCGTTTAACTTGTCATTTAACGTGTCCTTCTCCTGACGCCCTCCAGGGGACGCGGCGTAGCCTGCGTCGTGGCTACGCAACGGTTGTGGGAGGGTTCCCTGCACCAGGATGCTCTTTTACACGGGATAGTGTGTTCGGGCTTGTGTGCCTGTTTTTCGAAGCATGCTATATTGGCTTTACAGCAGGAACTATAATCTGCAGCTGGATAATCAAATAACCAATCTAAGGAAAGCACGAAATGAAAGATGCTAAAAAGTGACTGTGGTATTATTTAGCTCAAATGTAATAGCATGGGTTTAACTGGAATTAATGCTGAGGATTAGTTGATTTGATAGCACTGTAACAGCTGCCTGGCTTGAGGAGTTGGGTGAACAGGTGCTGCTTGCCTCCTTCCAGCCCCATTCCTTCACACTGTACCTGTTCCTCCTTCCCCTAGCTGTGCCCTGTTCTTCCTCCAGCAAGATTTCATTTGATGAACCCCATTTATTCCACTGTATTTCCTTTCACCTCTCTTTTGAGGTTTCCCATGGTTTATTTTAAGAGTCCCTCTCCTAGTTATCTCAGGGAGCTTTGCAAACTCCTGCCATCTTTTTTCCTTTTTCCATCAAGGAGCATCTTTCAGGGCACCAGCATTTTAAACTTCAATGGAATGAAAGATAGAGATGAAATGGGAGTATTTTTATGGTGAAGGAAATGCATGGTTGCTGGTGATCATGTGATGAACAGATGCGAAAGGATGCCCACAGCTCAAAGCAGGCTCTGCACATTGGACCTAGAGAGAGTGCTTGCTCTTCTAGGCATGAAGAGAAATGAGTTCTCTCTTTCTAGAAAAGAGGCAGCACTGTTTTCATATCTGTCCTTGTAGCCCTGGGCTGGATTCATAGATATATGGGTAGGGATCAGGAGAAAGTGGTCAGAGGACAAGTGTCATGCTCCATCAGGCCATGGATCCCCAGGTGCAGATTTACACGTCCATGGGTAACATTTCTTCCTTTGCCACTAGCTGACAGGCCATGCCAAGGATGTACTGTGATTTCCTTCTACCTTTCCAGGATGTTGCCTGTCCTCTGCTTCAGCAATATCCTAGGATGTGGGCTTTTCCAGTGGTGAAAAATTAGAGGATATGGGGCACTGCTGTAAGGCATGGGCTTCTGTTCCCATCACCTGCTGAGCTTTATCTAGCAGTAGACTGAGTTTCTTTCTAACCTTTCTGGCATTTCGACCACCCAGTTGGGGGCCAGCATACAGCATTGCTTTTTTAAGGCATTATTATCTTCCAGAGGTGATTTTTCAACTTGTTTTTTGTGGAAACCCCTTCCTTCTCTCCCTCTGCTTAAATTCACATGTGGCTCCTGCCTGAGAACATGCATGATCCAGACAAGGATGGGTCCTTTTACCCTAGGTGCCTGCAGCTTGGCCAAATGCCCCTATTTCAATCTTTCCCCCTCCTGTGCCTTGGCAGGGGAGAAGCCAGCTTGCCTGTCACCTCTGTGTCTGTAGGCACCATGCCATAGCTGAGCCCAAACTCGACAGGCAAGCCCCAGATAGTGAATTTCAAGGGACGTTTAGATTAGCATCGTTAAGCCATGGGGCTGGGAGCTTTTGTCATTGCCTGTTATCCCCTCTGTCGTGGGGTGACTCGTCCTTTGAGGGGGCCGAGCCCCGCACTGTCACGATGCTCCCCGGGCCTTGCGCCCATTACTCGGAGCCAGGCCTCCCTCCCCGTCCGGGGGTTGCCGGCCTCCCTTCGCTGCTGACTGGGGCAGAGAAGGAGGTGGCAGGGGCGGGCGTAGGGCGAAAGGGGCCGGCCCAGGGACTCGCTACGTGTCGCGGGAGCCCTTATAGGCCCGGCGCACCCCGGCCCCGCCGCCCGTCACCATGTCGAGCCGACCGCCGGCGGTAGGACGGGGCTGGCGGGCGGGGGGCTGCGGCTGCTGTGGGGCGCTTCCAGCTCCCTGCTAAGACAAACCCTTTCCTCATGCTCCTGACATTGCCGCTTTTCCTGCAGGGCTGGGGGCTCGCGCCGAGGCGGGCGGTGCTGGGCAGACGTGGACTCCCCAGGGGGATGGACCCCCGCGGGTCCCGTCTGCGGCTGGCGAGCGCCTTGTGCTCGGCGCTGGGGCCGGACCCATCGTCCTCCTCCCGGGGTACCCCGATCCCCTCGCAGGAGGACGTTAAATCCGCCGCGTTGCGGTGCAGGGCGCTGAGGGTGAATGCTGTCGCCAGGCGTCGGTCCGCGCTGGTGTAGATGTGCGAGCGGTGCGTGCCCCGGGCACAGCTCGGCTGCCCGCGGGTGAGCCGCGCACCGCCCCGCCGCACCCGGCAAGCGCGGTAGCGGTGCCCAGCGCAGCCGGTCCTCCCGGGCGAGGCCGAAGGCTGAGTCAGCGAGAAGCTGAGCCACTACCGCGCTCACGGCTTGTCGGGTTTCTGCCCAGGTCCCACCCGGGGGGAGACGCTGGTGAGACAGCCGCCACCAGCACCCAGCGGCTGCCAGCGCTGCAGCAAGAGCCATCGTGTTTCACAGAAAAGCTGCACAGCAAAGACAAATAGTAATATCCGGAGCGTAGTTCAGTTGGAAATGAAAATTGCAAATCGCAGTTACAGCCAGAAACCTTTTTCCTCTTCCTAGCTGCCCTCTCCCACTTCTTGGATTTGGGATGTGAGGTCTGGGTCCTTCTGGCTGCACGTACACTTCCCAGGTTTTAGATCAGAACTGTAAGAAATCTTGATGTAAGTCTTTTGGGCTGCTTTGCTGGTCCATTTATTTATTTACTTTGTCGTAAACTTTTCAGATGGATCTAATGCAGTTTGAGCACACTGGTAATCTGTCTGGGTAGAAATGCAACCAAAGCCATGCTTAACAAAGCACGCCTGTGTGGCAGGATGTTCTTGGAAACATGAAAACCTGTGGTTTAGGGATTATTTCTGGAAGGGGATGCAAGACGTGAGCTGTGTAGGGGAATTTTATTTATTGCTGTGATAGGAGAGAGGCATTAGTGAACTTCCAGAATAATCCCTCTCCTTTGCCTCTGCCCTGGGCTGAAAAAATGACCTTTATAAGCAGGATCGTGGCTGACCTTTGTACTGAGACTGTCAAAACAGATGCTATCTGGTTGACAGTTGTAGGCTTATTTTCATGTGCTTATCTGCTAGGTAGCTGATAGAATGGGAAAAGGTATGACTTCACTAATGACAAGAGGTTTTGATAATTATGATGAAATGGCAGTGATACTCCGTTAATGATCCTCCTGGTCTATGGCCAGGGACATGTGTTGCAGAGCATAGGTGAAGTTCTTGCTCCTAACGCAGTCCCAGTGTCTCAGTTTTAGCCATCTCAAGTTGATACCAAAGGACTGGGATAAGGCATTTCACTTTGATAGGGGTCCCTTGATCAGCTCAGTTATTAGCATACACAAACAGACAATTGCATTTGGTCTCAGTGCAATTACACAGTGTGGTTCAGGAGGGTTGAGGCATTGGCAGTGCATCAGAGATTCTGCCTAATGAAGGAGCAGGCAACAACACAATATGCTCCTGCAAGTAGCAGGATGAATGTTGTAGCTTAAAGGAGTTTTAATATGGTGGTGAATTTTTCATGACACGTTTTGTACCTGCAACAGCCAAGATGGTACCATTAGAAAATGAAGATGGGACACACGGAATAATTTGCCCTCCTGAGAGCCCTGTTAGTACCACAGCTCGTCCTTCTGATGCTCCCTACTTAATCCTCATTTTTCATTCTCCCAGTAACATGAATTGTTATGACTCATAAAAATCCTTATTACTAATGAAATGTCAGGGCTTACCACTTCTCCATAATGTGGGTGATGTGTTAATTTTTCTCCCACAGAGAAGGTTTTGTGGGGATGGTTGTTTCCAGCATTGTTCTCTGTCCTAGAATATGTCCAAAATGGGTTTCGCTGGTGATGTTTGCTAGCTGTCAGCTTTTCAAAGGTGCAGTAGTGGTAGCTGTTACAAGATGGACTGGTTGTGTTATTTGACTGTGCTCCTCGTTTTGGATATTGAGTAATTGTACATGAATTCAGTCTGAATGTTCTCTGGAGTTTGTGGGTAATTTGAGGATATTCTAACTGCACACCCATTTATTAATAGAAGCTTATGGTAGGGTACAAAGAAGAAAAGTGAATTTTTTTTTACTTCTGCATGTGTTGTCCTTGAAAATGAACAAGGCACCTTAATTCTGCTGAAGACCCAAGACTCGGTGTGCAGGAATCTTTGGCTGGTTAGTATGGAAATGCTCCCTTCATTTCTGCTCATGGTGTTGCAAGAAGCATGAAGTCCTCTAACTGTTGGGAAGTGTCCTTCAGTTCTCAGACCTCACTAACAGCATTCATTTCTGACCAGTTTCAGGGCTGACTTCTGGGGGACAAGAACAGTCTGTAAGGATGACCTTAAAGACTTAATGTTCCTTACACAAGCCCCCTGTGTGCCCCAGTCGTGAAATCCTGCTCTCAGGAGTAAGTACACGGTAAAGTAATTGCAGTGAGTAGCATGGAGCTGTGGGACTGCCCTTGTTTATTGTGTGGGCTCCTGCACAGCGCCGCATTCAGGGCTGAGCAGTCCTTTTAGCCCTCTCGAAACAGCCGCTTGTTCTCTCTGCGTCTGAGGTGTCACTGGTATTTCCGTAGCTCGTTACTTCTCCCCACTGAGCAGCGTTTTCATACCAAGCAGGAGCGTACAGAAGGAGCAGTGTGCTCCGTGAAAGCGCCTTGCCACGGAGCACAAGCCCATGGGCATGGCCCTGCCCTGGAAGGGCTGGCCCCTCGCCAGAGCCACTGGCTGCGTGGCTTGCATGTCCCTGTGGGTGCGCAGAAAATGCAGCTCAATGCATGTTGAGGTGGAGGTGTTCAGAGCTGGCTGCCAGAGTCCTGCCCCTGGCAGTGGGCGAACATCATCCTCACTGACTGCTTCCAGGGAGCTTCTCTTAGTGGAGAGAAGGGGTGCTTAGGGGAGAAAGAAAGCCCAGTACTGAAGCTGCCTTTCTGGGGGTGTTACAGGTTTGTCATCTGTCTGGCCTTGTGAAAGTATTTCCAGGACTCTGAACCACATGGCATGTGGCATCCCTTGCTTTCACTGGGATGTTGTTTCCGTAGCTCAGTGGATCACAAAGTGGTAACTTCTGATAGTTCAGTTTTGCTTGTGTAGGGTTTATGTGCACAGTCACAAATTATGTGGTCTGATTTAAAGATAAATTAAAATGTACAAATAATTTAGATTTTTTTTTTTTAATTAAAGAGAAAAAAACCCTACAAAACAGATGACTACTCTGAGAAAATAGGAAAAGGCTTAGTTTCTTTGCCTAAAAGCTATTTTCATGTTGAAAAACTGCAGGCACAGGGTGGGCCAAGTGATAGCACAGGCTGTGCAGTAACATATGTATAGCTTCATAAATTAAATTTCAAAGCAATGTAAAATAAAAAGTTCACTTAAAAAAAACCCTAAACAAACATGCGTTCATCTCCTCTCACACTTATTCTTTACTTATGTTTTGAACATAAAGACCAAAACATTTTTAAGGATGTTTGTGTTCAAAGTACTTCAGTGTAGTTCATCACTGTGACACTTGCACAGGCAACTACACCAGGCAGCAGAGCTGTGATTTCAGGGAGTTAGTGTGGCTTGGTCTGGGTTGAATTACTCAGTACAGCGTTTTTGATGTTTTATCCAGTGATTCAAAAGTCTTGCATTTACAGCTGTGATTTATTTTGTGAAACACAGTACCTAACTCATTGCACTGTGACAGTAAAAGATGATTGGTTTCTAGTTGCTCATTTCATACTTAGTATATTGGTATATTTGGTATATTTTCTGTCGCTTTTTTTGCTTTATATCTCTCTTTTTTGAAGATCACAGAAAGGTCAGCAGATTAACTATCTTGATACACAGTTATTTCAACTTCTGTTGTTTCCTATAGCTCTCTCCCTTCTTCTCCCTGTTTCTTTTGAAGTCCTTTGCTATTAAAAAGTTACCTTTCCAGTCTGTTGCCCCACCTTGCTGTTTCCTTCACTCGCACTGTTTTGCGAGGCTGCCAGTTGCCAGACCCATGTTTATTAAACGTACTCTGTAAGAATCAGGGTGTTCCATTTGGGGAATTTCAGTGAAAAAAAAAAGCCAGAAAAAGTTGCAGGCTCCTAAATATTAATGCCTCTTTATTTCTATGGTTCAGAGAGACTGAGCCCTCCAGAGGATGTGGAACAAAATAATCAATTTGGTGTGGTCCAGCCCCAGAAGCTGCAAGCTGAGGACCTTGGTGGACCTTCCCCAAGTGCAGGGAGGCTTGTTCTGGTGTCCCCTGGTACTGCCATGGCAGCAGGAGAAATAGGGCAAGTTTCCCAGGAAGCTGCATGGTCAGAGCATCTCCTGGGGCTGTACGAGGGTGTGTACATGGAAAAGTGGAAGGGAACTTTGAAGGGTTTTTCTCCTTGTCTTTGTGGGAGACGGGCAGGTAGGTCAGGCCTGATACCTGCTCATGCGCTCGGAGGTTAATCTTCTGCTTTCCCAACAGGACTAGCGGTTCTTCACAGTATTTCTTCCTCTCCCAGGGCCTGGTTTGGAGAAGTGCAGCTGAGCACTGCTGGAGACGGTGGTCGGCAGGGTGGGTGCCATCTGGGGTAGTGGCCAGGGCACCTAAACCCAACTGTGATTTTTCCAGCTCTTGAGTCAAAGCGCTTTGAGTCAGCATGTTGTTTCCTGTCCTGCCGCTGGACTCCTGGATAAATACAGACTCCAGCCTCGCCTGGTTTTCAGGTTGCACTGATGAAGTCACAGCCAGTTACAAATCTGTGCCAAAACCCGTAACTCAGGCATAGGTTTCTATCTATGCTGTCTTTGGGCAGCATCAACAGGTGGTTTTAGGCAAGACAGCAAATGATTTTGAA